AGAAAGAAAGTATTATGTGACACAAAAGATATTTATGCTATAAACCTAACATTAAATACCGCTAAAAAAATGCTATCTAATTATGAAACTATAAGCGAATCTAACAAAAGCAGGTCTAGGCTAAAAGTCCTGAAATTGACTTGAAAATTCAATTTGCTTAATTCTCACAAGGGAATTGTATCAAATATATTTTTGTCTCATTATATATTGTAAATATTGTATCCTTTGTAAATAACAATTAAATCTACTGGAGCAAAATAGCAAAAAAGAACAAGTAACTTTGATTTAAAGTAAAGTGTATAAACTTGATCTACAATATAAAATGTATATCATTAAAAACAATCTACGCCATTCGCAATTCGCAACCGCATATCAATCGAAAATTGAATAAGCTAACAGATGCGTTTAATTTGAGGCATTCATATGGAATATTTGCCCACAATGCAGGCATACTTCGACAGAGGCATGCACGTATGAATTGTCCAATTAAGGTAGAGATTTTCGACAAACCATACATACAGTCAGCAGCGCAGATTTGTTTTTTTGCAAAAAAAATACGTTTTTTGGATTTTGCTTTCTTATTAATAAAGAAATATCATGTAACTTATGTTAACGATACAAAAATAAGATGATAATATATATCGAGTTACGTTTAACAAGTAAATTTTACACTAATGCTAGAATAAATGAGAAAAGTTAGATACCAAAGACTGTATCAGTGTACCTGTAACGAGAAACCTTGTACGTTTTCTAGATTATTTTGTCTTATACTTGTACTGAATAAGCAGAAACGTCTTACAGAAACACTTTTAGAACCATAGCTTATTTGTATTCTCGAAGTCCTTGCATACTGCTACGATGCATGCGGACCGCGTAGCAATCGTCCAATTAGTGCTCGAGCTGTCCGACAAACCGTAATAGGGAGGGCGACTAAAGTATAGTTTAAAATTTATTCTTTTGACTTTTCACTTTGATTTATAGTAATACTATATGGAATTAGTTTTTGTTTGTTGTTTGTTTTATTAGTTATATTAGTCTTATATTTATTAAAAAAATGTATTTGGTGAAATTTGTTATGAATGATTATCTTTTTAGCTTTATTTATATCACATCATCTACCATTTATATAACTGTTCTTGACTATTCTTTTTATTTTATTTTTATTTTTTGGTTCGTCCCTAGGTTGATTCCCCATACAAACTTTCATCCCCGTTTTCGCACCCTTAAGGGATGATTTCCGGGATAAAAAGTATCCTTATCGTATAGATTCGCATCGAATCTAAAGTATCCTTTATGTCCTTCCCAGGGTCTCAAACTATCTTCTTACCAAATTTCATCTAAATCGGTTCGGTCGATCCAGAGATTACCGCCTACAAAGTCACAAAGTCACAATTCACAAACTCAGAAAAGAGGTAAATACCTCTTTATAATATTAGTATAGATTGAGATGAGAAATTAAATTTTATGTATTACGTACACTAGAACGCAGAACATAATATAATAATTTGAAATCAACAAATAAACTATAATGGTTAAAGTTGGTAGTACCCCTAAAGCATTAGACTAAAGAGCTAAACTCTAATGACTACATAATAATGTAAACTTTGCTAATTCATCATCAGCTTAAGCTTAAGCACAATATCATACTGCATTCTGCATCAGGTCTAAAAACTTGCGAGATTCCATATAAAATGGGAGAAAATTCAATTTGCTGATTTAAAATATATAACAAAACCATTTAAAATATTTTGATTGAGATAAATAATTTAAAAAAGTTTTATTTTAAACTAATTTACATTTAGAATTCCAAAAGTCTGTCTAAAATTATTTATTTAGTTACAATGAAAGCTTTGTGATAGACTGCACAGCGTAGAATGTAATAACTAACGCTGAAGTGTAAAGGTATTTCAGATGTGCAAAACTACACGCGAGGATGAGAATATTTCAAAAATTGCAGTTATTTCTTTTCTAACATGTAGAAATATAGGGAAGTACGTATCTATTTTATATTGATGTATAAGCGTTTAGAAGCAAAATAAATCATTTTCCATTTAGTGCAAAAATTAAATTTATGAAATTAATATTTTTTCAAGGAAATGAATTTGAATTTGAAGTCGGACTGAAGCCCTTCGTTTAAGGTTTTGTTATTATTATTTTTTTTTAACCTTTAATTACCGACGTGAGGCTTATGAGGCCACAGCAGCTTATAGAATTGTTATACTTAGTTTTACGTTTTTCGCGCATAGGACAGATTTCCGATCTCTAGTACTTGTGAGTTTAGTTGTGTTGATGTTATTGGATGAGGGAGATACCTATGTAATTAAGTTTTAAAATTAATATTTTTAAAGTAAAATGCTTATTCATAGAATTGTTATCGTTATTTTATATGGGATATAGGTACTAGGTACGATATGAAGTCGTAAAAAAGCTTATCTACAAAGACATAATATTTTTTTATTTAAACTTGCTTAATTGCTTCCTCGATTGAGGAAGTTTAGCGAAGGTATTAAAAGTACATAGAGTCAAATATTGTTATTGATATAGACTAATATATTTCATTTTTATGACATAAAATTTAATAAAATAATATTCAAAATAAAAAATACGTTGTAGTTGAAGCCTCTCAAACACCACAAAAGTAACACCTGCAGTTATAATGAAATCATCTCAGAAAATGTCAATAAAAGTTATTTTTCAGCAAAATAAATAACAAATTGGCAAAAATAATTTAATTTAATTATATAATAATTATCATATAATCTTGTCATTATCTTTCGTGGCTATCATAATCTATATATATAAAAGAAAGTCGTGTTAGTTACTTCGCTTATAACTCAAGAACGGCTGAACCGATTTAGCTGAAAATTGGCAGGGAGGTAGTTTAGAGCCAGGAGAAGGACATAGGATACTTTTTATCCCGTTCGACCGCGTTCCAATTTTTATGATATTTTAATTTTTGGATTTCTCTTAGTCCGGAATAGGTAAGTATTAAAACATATAATTAAAATGTGAGAAAGAAAGATTTTTTCTTTTTATATCTATTTAAAACGTACCTAGCGACGAACCCGAGCGAAGCGAGGGTGAGCCGCTAGTATTATTTTATATTTAAAGAAAACTCGAGGCAGACTACTAGTGCCATCTATGTTATAAAACATAAATCACCTTAAACATCCCTTTCTTGGAATACTTACGAGCTTAGACAATAGATGGCGTTTTAACAAATAAACGTGAAATGATTTACTATGCAAAACTAAAATTACATAAAAATACATAATTGTATTAGTTTACTAGCGCCAGGAAAATGATACTTTTTTGGTGGAAAATAAAGACTAAACGCAGTTACGAGGTAATATGTTAGATTTTTTTGCTTTGTATCAATTTTTCAATTTAGATTTATTTTATTGTAGGAACTTTATATTAAATAGTTTAAGTGATTTTGGATTTATTTTTAAAGCCTTTGCTTTATCCTTCACTTACTACTTGATATTTAATTGAAATATTCTAAATAAAACCGTAAATTAAATCGAAAGTAAACAACAGTCAGTTCTCTAGTGATCATTAAATAGATATACCTAAATCTATACATATAATAAAATTGTAACAAAGCCGAATCTGTACATTAAATATTTTTTGGAAAATCTTATTGAAATAGACATTATTATCGACACAGAGGCCGAATCTAAGTTTTTAGAATTTTTTCTGTCTGTCTGTCTGTTACCGCATCACGGAAAAACTATTGGGGGGATTTTGATGAAATTTGGTATGATGGTAGCTGGTTATCTGGGTCAACATATGGGATAATTTTTACCGCGGGAAAATGTCTCTTTTCTGAGAAAAAATACAAAAACTGCAATGTAAGAGTATACTAATATGTAAAATCTAAGAATTTTATTTTTGGTCATCTAAACGCGGGCGAAGCCGCGGGCAATGCTAGTGATTAATATAGTGATCTCAAATATGCCGATGGCTGACAAAATACACAATGAATGACAACATTAGTCAATTGGCATTCAAAACGAATGAATTACGCGATAACAATTTAAACTAGTATAAACTAATGCTATGAAACAAGTCAATATGATCGTCACGGAGGTTTGCTATTAGGACTCTGTTATAATGTGCATCTTCCTGAGCAACAATTTTATTTATATCTCCATACTAATGTTATAAATGTGAAAATGTGTTTGTTTGTTTGTCCTTCTTTCACGTCGAAACGGAGTGACGGATTGGCGTGATTTTTTTGTGTGGAGATAGTTGGAGGGCTGGAGAGTGATATAGGCTACTTTTTACCACGAGAGATTATCTAATTCCCAAGGGAAAACACGTTATATTACAATCCAAAAAATATTCAGGACCTTGAAACTTGGTACTAATGCTCGTCAATAAAATTAAATAAATAAGTGTTTTAGCATTTTTCGAAATTCATCTTATAAGGAGTCAAATAGGGGATGAAAGTTTGTATGAAACTACCTTTCTACAGATTTTTTGCACGTCATTTTTAGTTACGTTATCTTTGCTCAGTATCACTAGTACCTACTCAGATCGTTTATCATATTTTTTTAATTTCTATTTTATACCTCAAAAGGTTCCTATAGACATATTAAAAAGGTTTCTCCTGAACGGAATAATTATTTTTAAAATGATTTTAAAGTCCGTTTAGATTTTCAATTAAAAAGTAATTATAAATTTTGAAAATAACGAAATATTTTTAGTTCATTAATGTGTTTCAGGCCTAATCATAACAAACGTTGGCTCAATCGGAGACGGAAAGCAAAACAAGAACCAACACAAATGAGCACTCATTAGGCAGCCAGCTAGCTATTTGACACCACTAAACAAAGTGATTTGCTGTTTCTTAATTGCAGAAAATCTAACTTACATATAAGTGATCTATATATATTTAAAAAATACTTTGTATTATAAAGTAATATTTAATATATTTTCATTATTCAATAATGTTTAGTGTGAGTTGACATGAATGGTGAATTTAAGAAGCGGAAATGAATCGCAGTACTCTCATTGTTCTTGTTTCCGTCTTTATTGTAATAACTCTACAGGTTTGTTATTTTGCAATTATTTATAAAAATAGCGATAGAATAATTAGTAAAGTAATAAATTTAGATTTTTTTAATATAATTTAACTAACACGTTCTTCTAACAAAATTAAATCAGTATAAAGTATTAATTTTAAATATGAAAATTTCAGACGACCGATTTTCAAGACAACCTTATAAATGGATATAGGACGTTAATAGCTGACATCCAAGTTCGAACACAAAAGTCTAGGGAAGACATGGACACCCTCGTTTCTCAGATTAAGCTACTGATGAAGAATGAAGCTGACAAGGCAATCAATTACATGACAGTATATCTCGAGCAAATATCTTTGTACTTCCAGGTACCGATCATCAGAAAATCAGCATTTAAATTATTTTACTAACCTAAATTTTTTAAAATATCATTATATCCCGTGGGAAAGAATCGAAAAAAGATATATTCAACACTCTCCGTCATATAACCTGTCACTTTTACGTGACAGAAGGACAAACAAATAATCATATTTTCGAAATTATAATATGAGTAAGTAAAAACTAAGCTAACAATTGTTCCTCACAAAATTGATAAACAGGACAAAGTAGACAAGAAATCACAACATTTTGCGTTATTGCCTATGAAGAGAAATTCTGTACTAAGTGATACTTATAACCTCATTTTATTTTAACAAACATCAAGTCTTGCTTTCCGATAATCGAACGTACGACCTCCTTGTAATCCAAAACGCAAATAATAAGATCTCAAGAATATTTCCACTATCACAAAACCAAAGAATATATATTTGGTAACATAATATTATTAATTTAGTATGATTAAAACGTCAGGTCCATATATTTTCCTCGTTTTAAACCTCGTAAGTCCAAACAAAGTATTAAAACTCAATATTTCTCGTAAACGACCGGTCCGATAGGTCTATTTAACAAACGGAACAGCTAGAAAATGTGAAATATGAGGTCTACTTTTAAGAGAAATAGTGAAATAGAAACGGACCATTAACCGGCAGCCAGACTCTTAGAGTAAAGACCGGAACACACGAGCGGGCTGTCGCCTGCTAAAATGCTACTAGGACATCATAAGAGTTCTCACACTTTAAAATCTACGTATAAAACACATTTCCGATGGCTAGACACTAAGAAGGTTTTAAATAAAGGACGAATACAACAATTAACTCTTGTAATTTCAATAACTAATCTAGTGCCTAATATGTTTGTATTAAAAAAAAATGCACTATTAGACGACACGTTTGGCTCAGTTTGTAGTGACCCTACTTATTGTACCAGCGGTCGCGGGTTCGTGTCCCGCTGGGGGCATTCATTTGTGTGATGAGCACGAATGTTTGTACTCCAGTCGTGGGTGTTTACTGTTTATATTTATAATATGGATGTATTTAAAGTTATATATATTTGTAGTGTATCAACTATCTGGTATCCATAACACAAGCCTCGTAGCTTACCATGGAACTAGATGGTGCTGTGTATGAATGTCGCAACATATTTATTTATTTATTTATGCATTTATTATGCAACAAAATTAATATATGTAAATCTTAGTTTAGCTCAAGTATAGCAAATGAACTACCTCCACGTAAGAAATCTAGTTCATCGCCTATTTTGCTTTATTTGCTACACAGCAAACATCTAATTTATTTACGTTTCAGGTCATAATTCACGATCGCAAGCCCCGCAATGGCACGTATTGCAAGGAAAGCATTGTTAAGCTTCTAGGCGAGAATTTGCAGCTTGCCGATGAAAATGTTACCTTATGTCTAGCTTTAGGCTATCAGCGAGTGCAACGGTTGCCAGGTGAGATAAATTACTCGTATCTTAACAGCCACCATTATAACACATAGCAGGCTATTTAGATAATACATGTATATTTTAGTACATTAATCATGTAAAAATAATTGCTTTTTATATTTAATTATAGCTAACTAGCATTGCCCGCGGCTCCGCCCGCGTTCAGGTGACCAAAAGCCAAATTCTTAGGTTTTACATATTAGTATACTCTTACATTGCAGTTTTTGTATTTTTTCTCAGAAATGAGATATTCTCCCAGGGTAAAAAGTATCCTATATGTTGACCTAGGTAACGAGCTATCACTATACCAAATTTCATCAAAATCCCTCGAGCGGTTTTTCTGTGATGCGGTAACAGACAGACAGACAAAAATTCTAAAAACTATAGATTCGGCCTCTGTATCGATTATAATGTTTATTTCAATAAGATTTTCCAAAATATATTTAATGTACAGATTCGGCTTAGTTACAATTTTATTATATGTATATATTACTATTTATTTGATTAACTCGTGAAACGTACTCCCGTAAAAAATATTATATATGTATGAACAATAAATACTGTATAAAAACGTAAATTATTGATATATAGTACGGCTGCACTATTTACCTCTTAGTTTAACGAAAAATGTGAAATTTCTCTTAGAAAATTATTTACTCTATGAAAGAGAAAGGCTTGAAGTGTCCCGGAAACCCCTCTATATTTTAGTAGCGTCTTCCGTGTTTACATTGTTCTGACCCAGTAATAGCAGGATGTTATGGAAACAAAAGTATATTTGTTCATAGTCACCGAAATAACAAATTCTTTATGTAATGTGTTATGTTATTAAACTATTTTTTACTAAAGTTAATATGTAGTTTTTAAAATATTAATTATTCTTTCATTTTAACTGATTCGACGACACGTTGATACAGAAAAGTTACAAGTACATTTTGAAACGTTGGAAAATCTAAAGAAGTATTCAGCATCCAAATTATTCGAATGTCAAAAACAGCAGCAAGTTGGGGGGAATTGCTCTCATGAAAGTCAAGACCTGGAGAGGACCGTGGTAAGAAATCTCTAAACATTCGGATATCAAAAATATTTTATTATATATACACGTAAATTAAGATTTTATTATTTATTCGAACGAAAAATTTACATTAAAATCAGCACTGTCTGCTGCGTCAAAAGTCCTTAATTCAAAGCCAAACGCTGACCTTTAAGATATTTATTAAAATCTGATTATTAGATATAATAAATATAATAATTTGAATAATTTGTAATTCGCATTGGATCCTTGTGTACTAGGTTCATAATTAAAAGCAAAAATATTTTTTTCAGTTTTTATATGAAACTTCACCATTTCCTGTGGTCATGGCGGAGATTGCTATCCACGGCTTCAAAGAAGTATCTGACTTAAGTGTCTGTCTGAAGGACATCATCTCACGGATGATGACGCATTCAGTGAAAGTCATCGGTGATTTCAACAGATGCATTCATAACATTGAGATGCCTAAACTAAAGTATTTGCTTAAGTTTATGAAAAAATATGCCTAATCAGGGCCGAATTAACCATGCCGGGGGCCCCTAAACAATGCGATTCTCGGGGCCCTTTCACCCTTTTATAACTTATTAAAATACATTTTTCGTAATTACGCTATTAGGTAGATTTCATGGAATTCTAACTGTTCTATTTGTCCTCACGATGGAATGTTCACCTATTTTTTTATTTTTTTAAATTAAATTTTCGCTCGATGATATATTTTCAATTTTTTTTCTACGTGCGTGGGGCCCCTAGCCGATGCGGGGCCCATAGACAGTTGCCTAAACTGCCTTATAGATAATCCGGCCCTGTGCCTAATAACTTCAACGCGTAGATAATAATGTGTAAATTAAATTTTCATATATAAAATTCAAATTTATATGTATATAAAACTCATATGTTGAATTATAAGAAATAAAAACTAATAAAACTTAGTGTTTCACATTAATGTTTCATAAAATGGCATTCGTACAGATTTTGTAAAAATTTAAACTTTTTAATAAAATTACATTTTTTAACATTTACGCTGTATTATTTAATTAATGCGTGATCTTATTAAATTGGAATTACTTAAATATCTTTAATTTCAAATTTTATTAATCATATATTGATTTGATTTAGTATAAATAATACCCAGGTTGTACTCGTATAAGGCCACATGGAATAGAAAATGTAACTTACATCTATCATACAATTGTAATGAAACTTAACTATTTAGAGTCATAATACTTTGTGTACGAAATGTGTTTTTTATTCTGTCAATTTTCCAAAATTTAATCAATAGGCTGACTTCATTACTGTACTCGATTTGATAAGGAAATAACCTATTCAAAGAAAATATAATTTGCGAGGAGAAACTCTTTAAACGAACATATTGATTTCCTTCAATGTTTATGCAAAATACTTGATTGGCAATGAAAAATTACGCAATATTCGAACTCATTTCTGATGTAAATTGAGCTATTTTAATGAAAAAGTCACTTGAAAATTGATAAAATACTTTACTGAAAATGTCGACTGTTTCTTACTCGATCATTCTGGATTGTATCAAATTTTAAATTTTAAATTTATTTCAAACAGTAAAATACAAACGTGAAATAAACGTATAAATTAATAACATCATTATAGGTACGTCTCAAAAATTGTTAAAGCATATTTGTGTGCTAAGTCATATCCATACTAATATTATAAATGTGAAAGTGTGTTTGTTTGCTTATTTGTTTGTTTGTCTTTCTTTCACGCCGAAACGGCTTGGCGGATTGACGTGATTTTTTGTGTGGAGATAGTTGGAGGGCTGGAGAAAGAAGAAGAAGAAAGAGAAATTATCTCTTTCCCGCGGGAAAACATGTTATAATACAATCACAAAAATATTTATGATCAGAATTACTTGAAACTTGGTATTAATGCTCTTCAATACAATTAATTAAAATGTTTTAGCATTTTCCGAAATTCATCTCATAAGAGGGTAAAATAGCAGATGAAAGTTTGTATGAAACCTACCATTTTAGAGTTTTTTTTGTAGTTTTAGCGCGAGCGACGCCGCGGGTTCTGCTAGTTAAAGAATAAATTATATAGTAGATAAGAAAAAAATCTTGGAAAGGATATGATCGTTTCCAGGTTATTGGACTGTTAGAATTTCTTTTTGATATATAATTTTATTAAAAAAAAAATAGTTTATCCAGTTATCCTCTTTCGCTAGTCTCCTTTATACAAAAGAGCTTCATTTTTTTTTAAATTCTCCAGTTTTAAACAAACACACACACACCACCACACCACAGACTCATGACATTCAGTAAATATTGCAATAACTTAGAAAACATTTTTTTTTTCAATTAAATTGTCTTTAGATCTAATATTAAGGTAATGAAATAACTGGTTAAATATTACCAATTTTTCTTGCGTCAAATTGTCGAATGAAATTTTGTTACCACAAAGTAGTACCGTATTTTAATGGTTAAATACTAAGCATTGAGCTGATTCTTTATAGAATCTTTTGGTTATTTTTCATTCATTTTTATAAGTTATAGAACGTAGGTACTTAATATATTAACTCTGCTATAATGACTATGAAAATTATTGTAAAATATCAATCATCAGATCAAAAATGTCTCGCACCAAGAAGTAGGTTACATATCGCAATTCATTATACTAATAAATGTATAAAATCATCGTGTATATCTAAATAATATTTTATTTCTAAAGTGACATATATTATCCAAGCAGCTTAATGAAGCTTTCCACAGATAAAATAAAGCTTTTCTATTTTCCTCAATACTATCATATGATAACGGCAGTGATATCACTCATAGTAATCTACATTATTTCTGATAAAATTGTAATTTAACAAGCATTAAAAACGATCTAAATTAAAATATATTTATAAGCTTTTGCTTTATAATAACCTGTTACCTACTAAGTTAAAATGACTTACCAGAAGGATAACAACATCAGTCGAGCACGGTTGATATTTCAGGAGTCTGCTGAATCTCAAGGTTCTTTGAGCCATAGTCAATGGACCTACAGGTCTCGATATATGGATAAGAGGAGACGGTGAAGGATGCGGTGGTGGTGTAGAAACTGGTGGTATATTTCGCCGAACAGTCTCCAAGGGTACCGTCCGAGCTACCAAAGTGTCACTACCGACAGAATTAGCACTTCCACTGAACATATTCATCAAGTCGCCGATAGAACCGCCGCCACTCGAACCGCCACTACGTAATTTGTCCAAATCGGTCAAACTTGAGCCTCGACGCACTCTTAAACGAGAACCGCTAATATTGGACCGAGTTGATGCAAAAGCATCGCATCGGACGTCAGCTTCACTGACTGCTTGGCCTTTCTTACTTCGCACCATGATTGATGATTTTATACTGTTCTATATAAGAGTTTTATAAACAACTTATTCACACCTCATCAACAATAAAACAGAACTGTAGGTTTACACCTGAAGTCAAACGAATTTACATATAAATGGCTGATAGAGGTGCGCGCGCGTCGCAATTATTAGGGCCACGGCCGCCCGCAGGATAGCGCTATCGCGTCCTCGCGGGTTTCCGGTAACATCGTTCTGTGAGTTTTTGAAGTTGAAATGTTTAATTTATTTTTACTTTCAGTACTTAGGTGTGTGTACGGTACAAAGGCTGTTTGCGGACTGAGAGAATGCGTAGATTTTTGTGTGCGTGAATATCGTAACTCAGTGGAACTAATGAAGTGATCGGGTTCAAAGGCGTCATGGGACTCGGCGGGTGGCACCACTTAACCAACGTGTGGCAACGGGACGCCTGAAGCTCGGACATGTTACATCTCTTCGAAACATTGTATAATAATTAGTTTAATTGATTAACATTACTACTCTAATAAGTTAAGTATGAAATCAAATTACGTATTTTAATCTTAAATCAAAGCATTCATGATATTCAGGACTTTTAGGTAATATAATATGACTAATATGTTGCCGTAGGCTGAACTAAATAATATCACGTTTTTCGTCAATATAAAGCTTATAACATTGTGAAATACCGTTTCTTATTAAAACATGCCCTTGAAAGTAAATGGTTGATATATAATATAACACAATATGAAATTTGTTTTTTCTATACCCATTACCAAATTAAACGTATCTATGAATTATTTAAGAGAATAATAATGAAATTAAAATATATAAATATTAGAACAACAATGTAAACATGTAAAAAATATGTTTCTTCCTTGCTGAGCCCGCCCTTTATAAATCTATTATTGTGTTTATTACATATTAAACATAAAGAAATATAATATAGAAATTTACCTATAAGTTAAAAGAAAAATTTAGATTAAATTTTTCTTTTTAAGCGTCTAAAATAATATCAATATATTCAACAATTAAGCTTTTTGTTCAACGGAAGCACGAGCTCGACTGTTCTCGACTGACTCGAAAAAATATTAAGACTACTCTGCAAAAATCTCACACAGAGTCTAAATCTTAACCTGACTTTCTTTGTGTTTCGCTAAGCTTTAGTTATGTGTAAGGTCAAGCCATTAACAGTTCCAGAATGTAACAGCATTTTCCCATTTCCCAGCAGTAGTTTATATACGAACATTTTTTCACAGCGGGACTAAAATACTATAAGTAGTTTGTATGTGATAACCTCATTTAAATATACTCGTTTTATCGACGTCAGTTTAATAAGAGACGTGCAAGTGAAAAGAGTATTAATCTAATCGAATTTTTTTTTTTGCAATGTTTTTTTTTCTGACACAAAATAAAAATATTATAATAAAAAAATAATTACTTTACGCAGTTTGCCTATTTATTATACCTATTATAATATGTTATATCTATTACAGTCAAGAACGGTCTTAGCAGTCGTATTAATTGGACATCGACTGAGCTAGACAACGCTTGATTAACTCCAATAAAATGTATAAACTTGATTGGATGTACAGACAGTCGTAAAGTAAATTCTAATCTGTATGAAGCAGTAACGCTCTTATCATATTTTGTAAGGGATTTCTCCGAAAACGATGTCTTTCAGAGTCTTGATTAAATTTGTATATAAGACATAGGATTTTCGTAGTTAAATACATAAAAATTATAATAAGTATTATAAAATAAGTAGATTTTATTCAAGGTGTTATGTGTGCTACGACGAATGTTGTAACTCTTTTAAATTTTATTTCTATAAATAATATTCCTTAACAAGGATCATGATTAACTATAAAATATATAAAATATAAAATAGTTTGACAATAGAGTTTTCAATTTATAATATACAGACTTACCTTATGTCATCAGTTTCTTCATAATCATCTAAATTACACATTAATTCTCCTTTTGCATTGTAAATATACATTAAATACGTAAATAAAAAAAAAGAAAATAACGATTGAAACAGACTAAAGTAATAATAATTAAAAAATAATAAATTTAAATTTAAATTTAAAAAATAATTAATGTATTCACAGTAAAAATCTGTTTCATTCGTCGATAAAGAAATAATGACTCACATTTAGCTGCATGATGATCTTGTTATACGCCCGATGCCACCTCTGTTTTGGGGTAAGCTTAGGTTGTTCAGGGTGAAAATTCATTGGTTCCTCTTCATGCCTTTCTTGTTCTTCATTAAAGACACTATCTTCAGGATATTGTTCATCAGATTCATCGAACCTTTCCTGGTCAGTAAATTTGTCTCCTTCCCTAAATGTATCATCTGGGTATTGCTCTTGGTCATCAGGGTACTCCACATCCTGGTCAAACGATTCCTGTCTTTCGAACCTATCTCCTTCCTCAGGAACTTCGTGATAAGTTGTGCGTCCTTCTTGAAATGTCACTTTAGATTTGTCCATTGCTTGTTCTGCAAAGATACAATATATTTAAATACCTAATTGTTTTCGTTATCGTATTGAAAATGTTAAAGTACCTAATTAATTGTTCTATATGGTAATTTTTTATGGTTAAATCAAACCTAAAGTCTTGATGATTTAATGTTCGGAATATATGCATATAAAGAATTCTTGAGAACTACATAAATAAAATTCATTAATTAGTGGAGCTATGGTTTGCTACACTCAGACAAACCCTCTATACAAATATTGAAAATATTACTACGTTAAGTAAATTAAAAGAAAGATTTTGATATATTTTAAGAAACAACTCACCATCTAATGTTGTAGGGATCGTAAGTTTTTCTTCATGTTGGGAAATAAAAGAACTTTGTGAAGTTTTTCGATCAAGTATGGAAGGCGTTTGACTGTGGTAACTATCAACAGAAGGTTTCCTAGTTTGTGACACAGTCTTTGTTGGCGATGCAGTTTTATGTATACTTGATTCTTCTATCGCCTTTTCTTCTTCTACGACATCCTCATGGATGGTGTCATCTTCATGATACCTATCCAGTGACGTCCTATCGCGATCCACTTGATCGATTTCAGTCTTATGGTACTCGTCCTCGTAGGCACTTTCATCGAAACTCCCTGCGGAATAATCCTCTGGAGCATCAGGTAAAGTCCGTGTTCGACGCACTGAGGGTCGTTGCATAGATTCTTGTCTTCGAAGAGACGGTGTTCTTGGTAGCATTGGAGCTGATGTAGTTACAGTTGGGGTTGAAGGTACATCAGGGACGGACGTTGTTGCTGATATTGTTGTTGTACTGGTATATGGTGTAGCAGAAGCTAAAGTAGGTGGTAGTTGCGAAACTGCAGCAGCAGTAGGTACTGTTGCAGGCGGTTGTTGTTGGCTTGCTGCTGGAGCAGCAACAGCAGCTGCAGCAGCACCGAATAGACTTCCTAACCTTTTTGCTCCACCTGCCATTAACGAACCTAACGTAGCGGCTCCAGTTAAAACACTCGATTGCAGTTGTTGCGTTGGTAGTTTTTGCTGCTGTTGCTGCTGTTGTTGCTGCTGTTGCTGTTGGTGCTGCAATTGCTGTTGTTGTTGACGTTGCTGATTTAGTAGTGTTTGTTGTTGCTGTTGCTTTTGCTGTTGATCATACAGCTCTTGCTTTTCTTTCTCATATTGTTCTTGCTGGCTTTGTTGGTAATCTTGCTGCTGTACATATTGAGTTTCTGCTTGATAATGCTGATCTTGATTATACTGTTGGTCCTTGTATTGGTTGTCTTGTTGATATTGTTCATCTTGATGATATTGGCTATCTTGTTGATATTGATCACCTTGTTGATATTGATTATCTAGTTGATATTGGTCATCTAATTGATATTGATCATCCTGTCGATATTCGCTATCTTGCTGATATTGACTGTCTTGTTGAAATTTGTTATCTTCTTGATATTGATTATCTTCTTGGTATTGGTTATCTCGTTGATATTGGTCATCTTGCTGATATTGGTTATCTTTTTGGTACTGGTTATCTAGCTGGTACTGATGATCTGATTTAAACTGTTGATCTTGTTGAAATAGTTGATCTTGTTTATACTGTTCATCCAGTTGATATTGTTGATTCTGTTGAATTTGTTGGTCGTCTCTATACTGCTCGTCATATTTATATTGTTGATCATGTTCATATTGTTGGTCTTGTTGATACAGTTGGTCCTGTTTATATTGCTGATCCAATTGATATTGTTGTTCTTGTGAATATTGCTGATCTTGTCGGTATTCTTGCTCCCCAAAATATTTTTGCTGCTGTTCTTTTTGTCCATCTTGTTGTATATCATACTGTTTTTGATCATTCTGAAATTGATATTGAGGTTGTTTTTCAGATTGAATAAAATCTTTTTCTGTCTTATATTGACTATCAAACTTATATTGAAAATCAGTTTTTTTATCTAAATAATTAATATGATCATTTTGATATGATTGATCTTGCTGATCTGACGATTTTTGAAACTGTTTTGATTCTTCGTATTTGTCAATTTGATGATAACTTTGTTCATGATAAGTCTCTTGTTTAGTAGTTACACTTGGCTGGATAAATGATTGAATTTTTGATAACACTGATTTCCTAGGTATCACAGATTCTTCCTCACTTTTCGCTGGATAAGAAAATTGCGTAGAACTTTCCGATTCAGCCCACGTAGTCTTTTGCGCTGGTAAACGAAACAAACATTTAAATATTGTAAACGTCAAAGTATCATAATATTTATTAAACAACTCAGTCATCTTATTTAAATGACATTCAATAATAAACTAATGACCAAATGACGCTGTCGTTGTAGCATTGACCGCGTAGCGGAAACTTTTATCAGAAAACATTGAAAATGTATTCAATGTCAGTGATAAATCATGCCATATATAGTAAAGAATGTGTTAGCAGTTTATTAATAAAATTTGGTCCAGTGCGAATACGATTTGCGTAAACTAACATTATGTGAATTAAAAATCCTATAAGTTTTGAATGTAATCTTTATACTATTAAATTTAAAAATAATGGGCCCTGCATATGAAATTGGATATTTGGATAAGTATAAATTCTTGTATATTTTCAAATATAGGTACTTTAAAATAAAATTTATTTACCCCATTTTTGTAACCCAATAATGAATGACCAGAAACGGGTCATAAGAAAGGGGTAATTATTGCGTTACAATAATGGCCTTTGTTGATTGGTTATTTGTCATAACAAATGATACGCTTAACAAACATTTTTTTATTTATGCGCTTCATTCCCTAATTTAGCCTTAAGAAATCAGAATTTATGTATTATTTTTTATTTATATTTCACTGTAATAACGTAATGTCTATCATTGAGTCACGTATCGCTACCAAAGTAGGTATAATTTCAAATTAAAAACTTAAATCAAAGTTACCTGTCGCGGCCGGCGGTGTTGCATGTGGTGTCTCATCGAAAAAAGGTTGCATTCCATCCTCATCGTAACTAAAAACATTTTTATTTTATTTTATTTATTAGGAAGCCTACGAATACATTTTTTAACTTATTATAGTTATACATAAGAAAGTGTTACAAAGTATATCACAATTACAGGCTAACTTAACATGTATATAATAATTGTTAAACTAAGAAAAATATTGTTGTTGTTGCTCACTTATGTTACAAAAAAAAATATAAGAAATGAAAAAACTCTAACATTTAAATAACAAAATATCCTTGTAAAAAAAAAAGTTTTAACAAAAATATAACTAAATTTTGATATTACTTAAATCGTAAATACATAGGTAGAAAGCAATGTTTATACAAACCATGACCAAATCAAATAATAATAATAAATAAGAAATGGGGAAAAATATAAAACATTATTATTATTGTAGTTTTTATATTAAACAAAATGTATGAATTATTTACTAATTTATTTACTCTCATTATTTTATTTTCATTAATATTATAAAATATGAAACCATTGAAATTCAGAATATCTTATATCGTAGGATGCGAGTGGAGTCACGGAAAAATTGTTTTCAATAAAAATAAACATTGACGTTCAAATAGTATTTTTTTAAATCCAGCTATCTTTTATTTTACTCCTTATAACAAATAAATAAATAATATGTTAGGGACATTAACACACAGCGCCATCTAGTTCCATAGTAAGCTACGAGGCTTGTGTTATGGATACCAGATAGTTGATACACTACACATATATAACTTTTTTTAAATACATACATATTATAAATATAAACACCCATGACTGGGGTACAAACATTCGTGCTCATCACACAAATGAATACCCCCAGCGGGAATCGAACCCGCGACCACTGGCACTGCAAGTAGGGTCACTACAAACTGAGCCAAACGTGTCGTCTAATATAAATAATGCTGAACCACTTCACTTTAAGTTCGATCTGACCTAAGGTGTTGTTTTTTACTACGTAGGTAAAAATGTCTCACAGAAACGGAATAAAAGGTAAACTTCTTAAATTTTCACTCAGTGATAGTTTAATTAGTAATAATAGTTTTTTTCATATTCATATACTCGTAGATTTGAACACAAATGGGGATGGGGAACACAAACATACCTTGTATTATAATTGGTGTCTTGATACTGTTCATTGGCAGTGTCTTGGTATTGTGATTGATACCTGTAGCTACCGTAACCGTAACTAACATCGGGTACAGTTCTCTCGGGTTCTATAAAAATAATAATTTATCAATTTGCATATTCTATTCTAGTTACTAATACTATATCAAGTAATGCTTTTAGATTAATTTGTTATCATAAAATTGAAAAAAAAAAACAATCTATACATAAATAGGTTACAATCTCGCTATGAACACAATCTTTTTATAGCATTTATTTTAGTCGCTTCGTCTATCCCAAAAGTAATATAGCGTGGGCACAATCTACTGGTCCATATGTAGGTACAGTCATTTAACGAAGGATGGGGCAATCATGCGGAGCGTGCGAGAACTAAATTTTTTGAAAACACTATATTTGCTGCAGTCACTCCACAAGGGATAGCGTCATAGTATGTATATACTAATATTATAAAGATTAAGTTTTTGAAATTGTGAGTTTGTGATTTTGTAGGGGGAAATCTCTGGATGTACAGAACCAACTTAAATGAAATTTGGTAAGAAGATAGTTTGAGACCCTAGAAAGAACATAGGTTACTTTTTATCCCGGAAATCACCTCTTAAGGGGGTGAAAATGGGGATGAAAGTTTGTATTGCGAAGTGAGCTATTAACGAACCCGAACGAAGCTAGGGTGAGTCGCTAGTATAATATATAGATCTTGTACCTTGTATGTAAGGCACGTGTGTGTGCGTGGTCGCGACGGCGCCGCGCGCGGCGGGCGGGCGCGGCAGGCGGCGGCCGCGGCGCCCCCACCCGCCGTCGCTGCCCGGCGGCACGGGGAGCGCCCGACCGCGCTTCGGCGTTGAAGATGGTGTGGCTAAGACGTTAATTTTTGTATTATGTACTAGGTGACTAATTGTAACCTATATGTTAGTTCAGGTTATAGTCAATCTGTCTATTAAACTTCATCCAAATCCATTCAGTCGTTTTACCGTAAATGAGTAAAAATCACTCATTTGCACTAAAAATCTAAAGAATATTATCCAAGCGGTAAAACTAAAGAAAAGTGCTAAGCTTTAAAAAAATTCATGGATAAACAAACATACGCTTACTGTAAGCTTTATTACCTGGAAGACTTGCTGCAGTACGTCGCGGCCGAGGTCTATACGGCGCCATCTCATTGTAGTCAGAATATCGTGACGACGGGGGTAACTGTAACAATATTAAATTCTTAGCACGAGTATATACCAAACCTTAAGATAAATTTATCTATCTATACATATAATAAAATTGTTACTAAGTCGAATCTGTACATTAAATATTTTTTGCAAAATCTAATTAAAATAGGCATTATTATCGATACAGAGTCCGAATCTATAGTTTTTAGAATTTTTGTCTGTCTGTCTGTCTGTTACCGCATCACGAGAAAACCACTGGACAGATTTTGATGAAATTTAGTACGATGATAGCTGGTTATTCAGGTCAACAAATAGGCTACTTTTAACCGCGGGAAAATATCTCATTTCTGAGAAAAAATACAAAAACTGCATTGTAAGAGTATGCAATGCATTGTAAGTGAGGAGAGAACCTTTACACCAGTAAACTCGTAGAATTCTCTTTAGATACGTAAATTTTTAGCTCATAAACCCTTGATATATTACATGCCTAGTGATGAAATTCATCAATAAATGTGTAATCTTTTTATTCTGTTCACACTGTTTAACAAAACAACTGATTCGCCAATACTACTACAACATTTACAATACTTTCGATGCTAGCAATTGTTCAAATTTCGTTATGGCATTTCTTTAGAACCACAATGCGTTGTAGTCTAAAATTATAAGTGCCACGATGCGAATTACGTATTGTTTATTAAATAGTCAAAACGCGGTATGTTGGGTTTTTAGCACAGTAAGAGGTTCGGATATATTAGCCTAAGATATATATTTTGTTTAATATCATATCTAATTGGTGTTCTCTCGAACATAGAGCAATAGCTCTAACGGCAATAACTGTGTGCTTTAATAAGTTCAATTTGGTCTGCTTCATATTGTTTTCTAGTACAAACCTGTTTAGGCGGCATTTGCGGCAACTGTACGACGGATGACCGTCGTTTGTTGACGATATTCTCATACTCGGTGGGAGTGAGACCACACTCATCGTAGAAGTAACGGCCCTCCCACTGACTATACGGGTACGGATAACTACTCGAGTCATAGAACTCTTCATAACTTGCCTGTTGCGATATATGTGAATGGTCCCTGTTAATGAAAGTTTAAATATAATTATTAATTTGGTAATATAGATAAGTTATAAATAAAAAATTGCTAGTTATAAATTTAAACGATTTTCAAAAATGAAATATGATAATGAAAAGTAACTGTCTTAAGTAAATTTTTTTGTATTAAATCCAGTCAATAAAAGGATTATAAAAAGTTAAGGATAGGTCTAATTTGATCGTCCTTTCTCCACGTTTTTTTTTATAAATATGATTAAAATTAACTTTGATAAGTTGAATCAACAGAACACAATTGAATTTTCTGACTGTCTGGCTTTACATTAACCCTTAACGACCTACCATCTACTTCTGTCCTTTAACCACCTACGTACGGTTCTGGAGACCACTCATAGATTATTGCCTTAAATGCGGGATCTACGGTACTAAGTCACGCGTATACAGTCCCTGAGTCACATCCGCTGTTGCTAACCATGTTTTATGGTAGTCCATAGATATTTTAAGAATTCCATGTTTGCCATGGAAAGACGAAAAGAATAGTAACTTACCTAATGTGCGTACTTGTGGTGTATGACTCGTACCCGTACCCTATACTATCGTCGTACAAAGTATTCTGACGTTCAAGACTTGGCCTTCTCTGTTCCTCTGAAAGACATAATCAAATCTCAATTAGGTTCTATTGAACAAATATTGAAGTTTAACTAGATTTTTGACAATAACGATAAATTAAAATTTTATTTAAATAAATTTATTTTACTTTTTTAATGTTTTATTATTTATAAATATACTATAAACTGTGATAAATGAAATAACTGCACTTTACCCAGCGTCTCTTACAAGTAACTTTTTACCATATTGCAAAAGAATAAAATATAATATGAATAATGTATATTTATAATATGTATTTTATATTAATTTTTTTATAGAAAGATTATTAACAAAAATCAATACACGCACCTCCAGATTGCCAATCAGCCGCCGTCCTCCACGATATAGCGGACTCAACGCTCGCCTGCGCGTGCAACTGCGACCACGTGTCTATTCTATAAATAATGTAAAACTTAATTAAAACAAATCGCCCATTTCATGTTGGTAAAACACTTTCCAGGTCCAGAAGAAATTATGGAATGTACCCATAAACAAATCCTGGAATTTATTACAGCGGTAGGGTTCAAAGGGTTACTCTAGTTCAATATGCGGCGATCACAATCGACGTGAAATGGTCTAAGTGGCACTTATAGCCACAACATAGAAATAAAAAAAATATGCCATCACACAGAGAAAAGATAAAGTAGTTTTTCAACATAAATATAATTTTAATTAGCACAGGATATGTGGTATAGTTATCATGATTAAGTTTTAAAATTATCTCTATCTTTAAATTTTATTCATTCGTACCTACTTATAAGCATTTTGTCCAAACTTTGCTTACCCCTATATACCCCTTGTAAACTTTTAATAAGAATTTGCTATGGATATATACATATTTACATCCGACCGAGCCCCCATGACGTTAATGGTATAGGCACATCTTTAGGGCGTCTGTTAGTCTTTCTATAGTTTAACTCACAAACTTTGTACAAAAAATCACATAGAAAATGCTTCGCTGTCAAATAAACTTGTACATTTATAATAACTAAATAAGAATTGAATTTCAATTTATTAAAACACATTGTATTCATAATAACCATCTGCTATCTCTTTTTTGTAAGTATTTATTATATAGTTTATATTATATATTAGAAAATGTATATTTTCTAAGTTAATAACTATTATTATTCTATTTTATCTTGCAAATATTGAAGACAACTTTTGATATTCGAATATATTAACCCAAGATTCAAACTCAATATAAACAAATCGAAACCAATAATAAATTTGTTGATTTGACCTTTAAAGTTTGGGAAGCCACTTTATTGAAATTCGTGATTTAATTTTCATTTCAATCTTCAAATCTATCTCTATTATGTACAAAGTTGTTACTTTCTTTAACTCCACTCTTGACATTTTGTTCTTAAAGCTGTATCAAGAACAAAGTGATAAGAGCGGTGTTTACCAACTCTATAATAAAAATTACAATAAAAAAATCTGTGTTACAAGTGCAGGCAGATACCTCTTCAAGGAATCGAACCCATGAAAATGAAGGTTGTTCTAGTAGGATACATGTTTTTGTTAATTGTTCAGAAAATAGTAGAGATGATAAAAATAGATATTGAGATTTTGATAAAAAGTGTATGGAGAATGTCGTAATTGGGTCGAATATTAAAACGTAGTTTTATTTATTTTTAAGACAAATATAATATAATAGTCTATCTAGTGCTTTAACAATATATGCTTTAAAGGACAGATTTAGTAGAGAAATGTGTAGCAGATCGTAATGCTTAGAATTTTGAGCTAAATTCATAACGTATTTCACGTGAAGATAATAATAATACATGTATATAAAATTATTATGATTATTCTATTTCACACCTAGCTAATACTAAATTTACTAGATTGTGCTTTTAGCCTTTTTTAACGTCCCACAGCTGGGCACGGGCCTCCCAATACGAAGGGGATCAGGCCATAGTCCACCACGCTGGCCAAGTGCGGATTGGCGGACTCCACGTGTCTTTCGAAAACTTGCTAGGTTCTATCAGACATGCAGGTTTCCTCACGATATTTTCCTTCACTGTAAGACAAGTGGTAATCATGTTGGAAATGATTCGAACATGAAAATATCAGAGGTGCGAGCCCCGAGCAGATATGAACCAGCTTTACTTGATTTCTCAAGCGAACGCGTTACCACTGGGCTACCACTGCCACTGACGATATACATGCGACATGACGGTAACTAAAATGCTTTAGAAAATACTTTACAGTTTCAGCTCTTAGAATGATTATTTAATTGGTAGATAACGATATAATATTTGATATTTATACTAATGAATGGAGAGCCGATTTTTTTGGTCGGTTTTACTACGATAACTACTGAACCGATCGGAATAATACTCATACCATATGATGCAGCGTGGTTCGGGAAAATTTGATGAATATGTTGATGATGATGATGATGAAACTATGCGGACGGAGCCCCAGGAAAACGCTAGTAAAATTATATATGACTACATAAAAAATATATACCCATCGAATTCACTCGTTCCGTCTCTCAATATAAAATTAAAATACTATACGGTTCATCTAACTGAATTTACACCCCCAGTATTAGCTATTACTGCGAAGGTAAATTAGATTTCTGTCACTTGACCTTACCTATTAGTCCTGGGTTGACTGTTGTAATAGAGCGGGTCGGTGTCGCCGTGCAGGTGATATTCATCCCTCTCATACGAATTTTCTCGAGACGCTTCCAAAGACCTCTGTAACAGTTTATAAATAACATTTCATTACTTAATTATTCATATTATCTTGTTATTTTAAATTTTGCATTAAGAAACTGAAGTACTTTTTATAATTAATTAGCAATTATATAGCTTGCAGAATAATTGCACGAGAGTGCATAATGTTAAATTTTAGATCTGTATTTTTGTATGAGTTGAGTATGTATAAGTATCTTGTCGTGGTATGTATGAGTATGTTATGAGTTATTATAATAACTATTTTTAATTATTAGGTTATACCTCAAGAATGTTTCCATATAGTTAAAAATGTATAATATAACAATCATAAACAAACCCTTTAATTCAAAACTAATATAAAAAACTGCGTGTGTGTGCAATTCACACATGGTAGAAGTGAAACTTAATATTATATATTTGTCAGACAATAACAACGGTTACCATGGCAACATGGCAATGTATACTATCTCATTCACTCGCCGGCTTAATCCTATATATTTATGTGTTTGTCTCTTAGTGTCGCATTTCCGTTTCATCGAGTATCAAATCATAACGATTCTAAAGAAGTTTCACTTCAAAAACGCAATATTTTGAAATATCTAGTTCTCAGACACTTACATATATTATTTTTAAAAACAATCGTCTTCTTACATTACTAAGTCCATTTAACAATTAAAAGCTTCAGAATGTATACAAAAATCACCTGTGGCGTATGCATCTGATGCGCTGCACTCCGGAACTGAGACGCGCTGCAGTTGGCGTGCTGGCCCACCGGGTAGTTAAGGTCCGACGTGTAATCGGAGTCCTCAGAATATCCGGCTATGAAATTAAAAGAATCAAATTAGTATATTTCGTGCTAACAGGAAATAAAAAAAACGCCCATTCCTCGTGTATTAAGGGGTGAAACGAGTCAAACGTAATCCAATTCGTACGAGGGAAAAGTTACTATGTCGAGCATTTTAGGTTGACAGCAATAATATTATTAAAGCAATAATCACGAACGCACAAATAATATTAAAACTGATAGGATAACGCGCTGTTGATGTATTGATTATAGATACATTATTTTGCGAAGCCTGCCAATAATAATTTACAAATATTGTATATGTATGTATGTATGTATGTATGTATGTATGTTGAAAGTCGAAATATCGATTTTAGCTTACCAGACAGTATTATATTTTGATTACATTATTTGAAATCATCATTTCCTAATACAAATATTTTATAACGCTTTATACTCCTATTCGTAGTTACGTATAAATTAACTAAAATATCTATACATATAATAAAATTGTAACTAAGTCGAATCTGTACATTAAATATTTTTTGGAAAATCTTTTTGAAATAAACATTATTATCGATACAGAGGCCGAATCTATAGTTTTTAGAATTTTTGTATGTCTGTCTGTAACCGCATCACAGAAATTTTTGGTCATCTGAACGCGGGCGGAGCCGCGGGCAATGCTAGTATGAAAAAAAACAGTAGTTTAAAACATTTTGTTTTCTTTCTGCACAGATCTGCATACTTCATACTTTACTTTCACTGTGAGTAGATTTACATATATTATATAATTTGTGAAATATAGATATTTGTGATAAAACAATATGAGTCTCCAGCGGCGTAAAGTTTTTCTTATTGACAACTTAACGTATAAGATATAAAATATGTGTTTTGTTTCTTTTAAAGTTACTGTACTGTATATGACGACACGTTTGGCACAGTTTGTAGTGACCCTACTTGCTTTGCCAGCGGTCGCGGGATCGAGTCTCGCTGGTGGCATTCATTTGTGTGATGAGCACAGATGTTTGTACTCCAGTCATGGATTTTTATATTTATAATATGTATGTATTTAAAGTTATATATGTGTAGTGTATCAACTACCTGGTATCTATAACACGAGCCTCGTAGCTTACCATGGAAGTAGATGGTGCCGTGTGTTAATGTCCCAACATATTTATTTAATTTACTGTACCTACCTTTTTATGGAAATAAATAAAAATGAAAATTTTACAATATATTAGGTTACAATATTAAAAGTTTTTTAAGATCTAAAACATGTTACATACTAATACCTATATCTATTTCTCTGATTTTATGAGAAGTTAAGTAATTTTAATTCATCGAATTTACTCGTATAACATTTAAGAATTTTAACTTAATGGCCGATTCTTATAAATTTCGAAAATAAAACGAACAAAACATTTTTTGATGCCTCCATTTCTATCTCGTCTACAGCATAAAATATTTCGCCTGAAACCTTTATAACTTAATAAAATAGAATCATTTTATATTATTAGAATGACTCATTGAGTTTCATTTAACACTTACTCCTATGAAACTTTAAATTTTGCATCTAAGGAAATCTTATAACGCGAAGGCGCATATGCAAAGGGATAGGAAAGTCTCTTTATTCGTAGGTACATAAAGAAGGTCGGACGAATAATCATTTTTTTATTAATCAATTGTCGTACAATGGACAACAAACAACAACTATTTATTTATTAAAAATAACTATATTAATAATAATTAAATATTTATTTGTCAGTAATATATAGGTATCAAGTCCAAATACGCTTTATCTAAAACGAAAAGTACACAAAATGAGGCAAATAGTTATAGAATATTGTGAGAGAGTGAATAAGAAATATAAAAAAGATTTCTAGTAAATCTTCCACTATTTCACTCTAATATATGTATGTAAATATAAAATAATATTTCAGTATTATAAATATACGTAAGTCTACATAATTATGTAAAATAATATTATTCCTAAAATTCTCACAAAGGACGATATTTTGATTTAACACATCAATATCATCATATCTGTAGTTTATTTTCATACTATGCTTATATTTTATAGCCTATAACTTTTCTAAATAATTCATATTTTTATTGGTGAAAACCGTATTAAAATCAGTACAATAATAGTTTATGAAAGAGTAACCGGAACAAAAACAAACACAGTGTGGCGGCTCTAGTCAAAACAAATAAATAAAATTGAAGTGTCTATTTGTAATGTCAAAATAACAGCTTTTTACTAAATACATATGAAGGTACATACCGTACTTACAAGAAAAAACGAGTTTAAATTTTTTTGTTTGTCTGTCTGTTTGATCCATCCAATCTCCGAAACGGCTGGACTAATTTTGACAGGACTTACACTGGCAGATAGCGAATGTTATAAGGAGTAACTTAGGTTTTTATTTTAGAAAAAGAATTAGGGTTCCGCGCAAAAACATTAAAACGTATGAAATTGCAAAATCCGCGTACCTAGAGTTACAACCGAGCGAAGCGAGGGTAAATCGCTAGTTTATAATATCTATTGATTTTGTACTCACAGTGTGCCACGTACTGCAACTGGCGGCGCGCTTGCTCTGCCCGCTCGGCATCGAGAGCGCCGTTGAGCAAGTCCAGCTTACGCTGCAGGTCAGCGCCACCGGTGCCTTCCGCATCTGGATCATCGAACATAATATGCTTTTTAGGATTCCATTTTACTTCACCTTATATAAAAAGGTTCTTCAAAAAAACGTATTTCTTAACGTTCTTTAAATTATGTTTTATCGTATATATACAGTTATATCTGTAATATATACAGTTAACTTACCCTAGCTTTGCTCAGGTGTCTCAATAGGTGCCTAACAGTAGCTCGAGTATTATTCCAAGCAATAGTCTATTTGTTTACTAAATTTTATGCAAATCCGTCCAGCCGTTTCAGCGTGAAGGAGAAACAAACAAACATACACACATACAAACTTTTGCATTTATAATAGTAATCCGATGTTCATCAAACTGTTTTAAATTATACCTATAGTATAATGACAGATGCCGCTAGAGGGCGCGAGAACCACTCATACTCAGAGTATATCTGTATAAGCCATTCAAGTTTTTGTCGCGGTCAGCAATATGGTATGTCCATACGTGTGATTATCGGAACTGATAGAAGACGCTACAGACACATAAAAATAGTTAAAAATAACTATAGGAATCCCACTGTATAGTATTTAGTTTTAATTGTAGATACTAGAAATTATTTAAATGAAAAAATTGCAGTTGGATTTTTAGTCTAAAAATAAAACGTATTTGAAATAGAACTATATAATTTGAGACAACATCGAAATGCTTTTGTTACTTTATTATTTTGTCTGTTAAATTGTCTACACGTTATTCTAAAATATAGTATTTAAGCAACTGTACCATAAAAATAATAATACGTTCTGAATAAAATAAGAACTTGGAATACTGTTATATTTAGAGTATCATATTATTTTTTAAACATTTTTTTCCATCTATCTGTAGTAATATTATAAAGAGGTCAAATTTTCGAAAGACATGTGAAGTCCAACAACCCGCCTTGGCCAGCGTGGTGGACTATGGCCTGATTTCCCTCGTACTGAAGAGTGGCCTGTGCCCAGCAGTGGGACGTTAAAAACGGCTGAATACAATACAAAGTTTGTGAGTTTGTGAGTTTGGAGGTCGTAAAGAGTAATCTCTGGATCTACTGAACCGATTTTGATGAAATATGGTAAGAAGATACTTTGAGACCCTGGGAAGGACATAGGATGCTTAACTTACCGGAAATCATCTCTTAAGGGGGTGAAAATGGGGATGAAAGTTAGTATGGGGAATCAACCTCGGGACGAACTCAAGTGAGGGTGAGTCGCTAGTGTTTTATAAAAAAGTGGTTTAAATTAGTAGATAGGTGAACGAAATTATTAGGTAGTAGTTTATAATAATAAAACCATCTCGCTCTTAAAAGTCGTAGCGTGATGTTCGATAGCTTATAGTATTGAGCTACAAAAACAGATTTTTTAAATTCGACTTGTAGTTGCAGAGAATAGCAACGTTTAAACTAAAAAAACAAATTATAATAAAATAGGTATAAATATTAACAAAAAGTCGAAAAAATCCTATTTTGATACAATTATTTATAAATATGTACTAAAATTTAAGCTTAAAGTGAGTTTTATTCATTTAGACTTTTACAATAACTTTTGAACTTAATTCCAAATGAGTCAACGTTGTCTATCCAAGAGATAGCTATCACAAGCTTACTTTAAACGTAATAATTATAGAAAATAAATAAATATGTCAGGACATTAACACACAGCACCATCTAGTTCCATGTTAAGCTATGAGGCTTGTGTTATAGATACCAGATAGTTGATACATTATATAATATACATATATAACTTTAAATACATACATATTATAAATATAAACCATCCATGACTGGAGTACAAACATTCGTGCTCATCACACAAATGTATGCCCCAGCGGGACTCGAACCCGCGACCGCTGGCGCAGCAAGTAGGGTCACTACAAACTGAGCCAAACGTATCGTAGCGGAATAAAAGGCGCTTTATTCATTTCAAATGGCGTTCAACCTCAATCAGTACATCTAATGAACTCTGATGACCTAATTTCTTGAAATTTAATCTATTTCCTCGTCAGTATATCGCTAATAAGCTATCAAGCTGTGGGCAACGCAATTGAGTAACGGAGTAAGTTTGTCCCGAACAAAATCGCTTGGGAAATGAAAACTTGATGAAGTACCGTTTAAAATAGTTGGCAAAGTTAAATAACGCGGTCAATCGTAACAGAAACTATAAGTTTGGTTTATTGAAAACTAATGGTTTGTTAAAGAAAGTTATAAATTTGACGACACGTTTGGCTCCGTTTGTAGTGACACTACTTGCTGTGCCAGCGGTCGCGGGTTCAGTCCCGCTGGGGGCATCCATTTGTGTGATGAGCACGAATGTTTATATTCCAGACATGGGTGTTTATATTTATAATATGTATGTATTTAAAGTTATATATGTGTAGTATATCAATTATCTGGTATACATAACACAAGCCTTGTAGCTTGCCATGGAACTAGATGGTGCTGTGTGTTAATGTCCCAACATATTTATTTATTCATTTAAATTTAAGTTCAAACCGTAACACAATTATAAAACTTAAATATAAATACAAATTAGCAAAAGGTCTAACTTTGAATGTTTTTTTTTCTCATGATCAATAGATATTTTATATTTAATTCTTTACTTTGTCACTCTTTGTTTATTTACTTCTTATTGCTAGGAGGCTTGTCCATACGATTTTTACTCGTCCATGATATTATTACAATAAAAATATAGGATCTGGACCACCGAGCTTCGCTCGGAGATTTTGGTCGAAAGTATAATTTTCTTTAAAAAAAAACCAAAAATCTAGAATAAATACAAAAAAAAGTAAAAAAAGTTAGTACCTATGAGACTAAATAGGTAGCAATATAAAAAATAATAATGTAAGTGATTTGTATAAGGGTCGATATAAACAAAATATGTTTAATACCGATAGGGCTGGTACAAATAAGGAGTAAAATTTAAGTGGAGTGTATGTATTCAGCCCTTTTTAACGTCCCACTGCTGGGCACGGGCCTCCCTTTAATACGAGGGGGATCAGGCCATAGTCCACCACGCTGGCCAAGTGCGGTTTGGCGTACTTCACATGTCTTTCGAAAACTTGCTAAGTTCTCTCAGACTTGCAGGTTTCCTCACGATGTTTTCCTTCACCGTAAGGCAAGTTGTAATCATGTTAGAAACGATTCGCACATGAAAATATCAGAAGTGCGAGACCCGGGATTTGAACCCGCTTCACTCGGTTTCCCAAGCGATCACGCTACCACTGTGCTACCACTGCCTTGTGTATTGTAAGTGGAGTGTAAAATAAGTTTAAAGGATGCGATTTACGGGTGCGAATAGCGGGATTAGAAAGCACGCCTACCTTGCTGGAGCTCTGCGTCAGATCTTCAGCTTGAAGTCCATTGCTTAATAATTATAAAATTATAATATTTTACACACTTCTTTACATATGATTAATGCTTAACCGCATTTGCACTGTTGACGGGTATATAACATAATGCTACGACGTTAACGCAAGTGTGAGGTGTAGTAATTGCCTTTTTATGACATAGGTATTTTTTTAAAGCCTTGTTACGTGTTTGTGGTGAAAAATAATAAATCATAACGATTTTACGTTGCATATAAATAAATATAGCCAACTTCGCGGAGTTTCTTACAATAAGTTTCTTGAATTTAATTCTGTTTCTTAAAATAATCTAATAAATTAAATGTGACGGTCTACACTGTGTACTAAGTTTGTCACGATTATTGTGAACTCGTGTAGTAAGTATACATATGTAATTTTTTTTAACTCCTGTATGCTTTTGATTAATTTAGTATGTACATTATTTGGTACTCCTTTGAAAACCGTTTCAGTTATTCATACAGAGTCGTGCTTAAGAAATATAATGATACCTTTATGAAAAATATAAACTAACCTAATAGATTTTAAAACTTATGCCTTTACCTTTAGTTATGAAGTTGCCATCATATTAATTTTTAGTTCCATGATATTTTGAAAAACTATGAAAACAAATCTTTTTTTAAAAGACAAATTTAAGAAATAAATTAAAAAATATTATTTTTATTGTACATATTATTCTAATTTTAACATTGATTTATATTATGATTATTTAATTATAGTAGTTAATATGTGTAATTCTTTAATTTAATTTCATCTATTATAAATATTTATTAGAAATTGTATTTAACACTTTATATATTATTGTTTTAAAGCCGGAAATGTAATTAATGATGTGTATGCCTATAATTAATGCTTGTACTAGAATAAGTAATCTTATAATATAATAATTTAGAATGTAGGTAGGTACAATGTATTGTTGGCATATCTTGCAAATAAATAAAATAAACACAACATACGAAAAATAATTTGTTGATCTTTAGCTAACAGTATTTTCAAACTGATCTAAAAAAATTTTTACCTACACAGTTCATATATTGTAACCTGGACGTGTGTTACTTGTCTTTCTAAAGAGGCGACGTTTCTTTTAAGATGAAAAGTTCTCGAGAAACAATACCTGAGAATAGAGAATTTTTATACTTTAAAAATACATTGTCTTGGCGATGAGTTCCATTTCTAAAATAGATGGTCACGTAATATGCCAAGTATCCATTATTTATTACTTAAAAAAATGAATTTTCCACTGCCTGTGATTATTACTGTGAAAGAAATCTTTATTTAAACTTACATTTTAACGTTAATTTTAACACTTTACCAGTCACGACTCGGACTCCAAACACGAAAACCTTATTTGAATCGTGAAAAATAGAATTTAATTTGTTTAATTAGATTAGTATATTAACTTATTGAACTTCATGTAAGTAACAGTTTAATCTTCTATCTTAAAGAAGAGAAGAAAGAGGTATGTAGAGATCGTAGCACTTGGCTTTCTATTTTCTCCATCCCGCCTTCCTCGTAAAGAATATAGCGTGAAGTTTTTTGTGTGTATGTGTGTGTTTAATCTTGTACTGTTTATATATATATATATATATATATATATATATATATATATATATATATATATATATATATATATATATATGTAAAG